ATAAGTCAACATGAAACCACATTTGCAGCTCATTTTACTCCCATAATTTGATGTATTTCCAAGTTAAATGCATCAATAGGATTTACAATCATATTTAAATGCACATAACGTATTTTTTCTTGCATGAATACTTCCATTAAGACAGCGAGGTCATCAGAACAGACAATAAATGAAGCTGTTAATAAATCTGAATATAAGAGTGTTTAATGAGAAAAAAACCTAAATGTGAGGCAGTAATGTGAATGTGGAATTACTGAAAGAACATTAAAAACATTAACAGCACTATAAATGACATATATCAAGTCATATTCATCAATACAGGTTTGATATTAACGATGCTCTCTACAGGAACTCAGTGAATCAACTGTTAACATCTTTAGTAAAACTTGGGCCACTTTTTGACGGACAAATCTGAACTGTGGCCCAAAAAGATGAAACAATGTGGCAATAGAATGCAAAGACAAACCAATCCTAAACTCCAAAGCACTTACCTCAGTAAATATTCATGAGCTCTGTATAGTAACAGAAACGTCCATGTGCATCTGCTGGAAAACACTAAAAAGATGCAACTGTTAACTGGAGTAAAGAAGAAAGTATTATTTCTGCTGCATGTGTCAGAAGAATCAAATGGATGAGCAGTTATTAAAACAAGCTCATTAATATGCAAATATGCACATGAACTCAGGAATTACAGATCAAATCATGATTACCCAGGGTTAATTCAGACAGAAACATGGAACAAGATAACAGAGGATTATGTGAACACATTTCATGTAAGCAAACTGCAACAACACACTTAAAGACATCATGAAAATAAAGGTTTGTGGGTCGCCACAATAAATATTTCCTTTAAAAATAGCCGTAAATGATAAAATGGGCATCAGGATTGGAAGTGCTATTAAATTGCAGAGAATGATTTTTGGAAGTTGTAAATATTATTGGAGTGCGTGTGGCTTCTTAAACAGAATAAGGCACGCAACATATTTCATAGTATTCTAAGCAGTGATAAAAGATGTCAATTAGCATTGCATTATACTTTATTACAATGAAACTTATTAATAATAATTATAATAATAAGAACTCAGATAAACCATATATGTGACCCTGAACCACAAAACCAGTCTTAAGTCGCTGGGGTATATTTGTAGCAATAGCCAACAATACATTGTATGGGTCAAAATTATTGATTTTTCTTTTATGCCAAAAATCATTAGGATATTAAGTAAAGATCATGTTCCATGAAGATATTTTGTAAATTTCCTACCGTAAATATATCAAAACGTAATTTTTGATTAGTAATATGCATTGCTAAGAACTTCATATGAACAACTTTAAAGATAATTTTCTCAATATTTTGATTTTTTGCACCCTCAGATTCCAGATTTTCAAATAGTTGTATCTCGGCCAAATATTGTGCTATCCTAACAAACCATACATCAATGGAAAGCTTATTTATTCAGCTTTCAGATGATGTATAAATCTCAATTGAAAAAAATTGACCCTCATGACTGGTTTTGTGGTCCAGGGTCATATATTGTTGTAGTCGTGTGTTTATTAGTCACGCTGAATCAATGAAAGCAGTTAAATCTTCTGTTTATTCAGCTACCGCTATAGGGATTTCCTGGATTTCTTCTCTTTAGGTTGGCTGGCCTTCGGATGGAGATTTACTACTGATCACAGAACCGTGCTTCACTGACAAGATGCGCATGACAATCGCACCGATTTAATTTCGATTTATTGTGCAGCCCTAGTTACAATATGCAGAAATCTCACTTTGAGACAAAAGCGTTGGGATCGGCGTTCTTCATCTCTGTCCGCTGTGCAGGCGCACATGCCGGAGACAGTTGTCCTGTCTGGAGAAGGTTTTCCCACACAACTGACAGTGGAAGGGTTTCTCGCCTGTATGCACTCGTCTGTGCGTGATCAAACGCATCCGCTGCGTGAAGCCCTTCCCGCATTCCTCACAGCGGAACGGTCTGGGCCGCGAGAACGAGAACGCCGCGGAGTCGCCGGATCTGGATGAGCGTTCCTGTCGAGGAAGATTCAATCCGTCCTCAACGTCTCCAGAAGCGCCAAAGCCGAAAAAGAACAAATCAGATGAAGCCTGCGCCGCCGGATCCTCCATCATCACGTTCGAATCTGGAAGCATCTGGGATCGTTGCTCTATCAGACTCTCCGGATCGTCGAACGCTTTCGAACGCCACGAGTTTCCGTCTTCACGACGGGTTTCGTTCTTCTGTTCTGCTTGAACTTGATTCAGTTTCTGATCCACAAGTTCCTCCACCTGTTCGATCTTCATCTCAAACTCCAGGCCGCCGAGCTCCTCTTCCTCCGGCTCTGGTAAGGATGTGACGGGATCTTCTCGCTTCAGCTCCAGCGCATGGGAATGATAAGGCTTCTCTTCTGTGATGAGATCCTTCACCGGGCAGACCGAAACCACCTTCTCCTGACTGTGATCATCAGGCCGTGAATGAGCCGATACACCTGCTGACAAATACATGTGTTCATGTGTCAATAAGAGGACTTACTAAGGGTGCTCCGATCAGGATTTTTTGGGCCGATCACAGGAAGCAGTATCTGCCGATACCGATCACCTATACCAATCTTTTTGAAGCCTTATTTTTATCACGTAGAATTATTTATAGTGATGCTCCAGTCAGGATTTTTACAGACATTCATTCAGGGCCTGAATTTCATTTTTGAAAATTGGGGGAATTCCCCCCTTAGTTGACTCTTGTGGGGGTGCTTTTTTTTTTTTTTACATTTTTCAAAAATATATAATTATGCACCTAAATGTTTGATCATGCAGTGCATTTTTGTTTTTACAATGGGGCAATTGTTGCACAATAGCTTACACACAGCACAAGCCTGATTTCGTGAGCTGTATGTGAGGCGGCCTCATGCCAGGTTCACACATACTCCGTTTGCAGTGCGAATGCAGTTCATGTGCGCTACGTAAGTTGTGCAGAAGCAGCAGGACTCATTATGCTTTCACACAGGAGTCTGCAACTGATCCGTGGCTGTTTACCACAAACACAACATTTATCCATTTTGATTTCGAATCTAAACGTTGTTACTGAAAATGCTTTTTGAGCATTGTGATTATCTTTTTACGTAGTACAGTAATACAATCTTTCATAGACGTGTTTAAACAAAAAATATAAGCAAGAGTATGTATGAACCTCGCGTTATGTGTGCGCGTTTTGAGCGTGCATGAGCCTCTAGGAGAGCGTTCAAGTGCTGAATGATTTAAACACGAGCAACAATTAAAAAGAAATAAAAAATTCTAAACTTTAGTGACGATGCAACACTGTGCAAGTGACAATTCCTGTGTGAATTGTGCAGCTCGCTTATAGTGCAGAGGCATGTGGTGATTTGAAGCCATTTGCGCGTTTTGAGAGAGAGCTTGCGCGGTGATTCACTCACACGGTTTGTGAAATTACATCTCACAGAAAGTTTTCAAATTACTTTTAAGAAATATGAATTGTACTTCACCATCAGCATTATAATTATTTTACCGCGCCGGTCAGAGACTGAGGCGGTGCCGCTGCATGTCGTGCCAAACCTCTCACGGTAGGCGCGTCATCGGCTTGAGATCGGTTTAGGAGATCGGCCTTTATATTATAGACCACCGACCAAACTTCCCCAAGCCATTATCGGCCGATAGCGATCGATAGCCGATCAATCGGAGCACCCCTAGGATTTACTCAATGCAACAATAAAACGAACAGTTCCAGCTCTAAAGTCTGTATATGAATTCCATATTAATACGTCAGATGCAACAAATCATTAGGTTAATGAACTACATTACTTACTGCAAAAAAAATCTGATTATCATCATTATTAACAATCTATGGTTTTTGCAACACTGGTGACTTTTAATATATTTACATAAAAATAACAACAAAAATACAATTGATAGATAGATAACGTATTTTATTGTTTTTATTTGTTTTATGTAAATTATATA